TTGAGCCCAGAAGTTGGAGGTTGCTGTGAGCAGTGAAGCCATGGCACTCTACCCAGGGGGACAGCTTGAGACTCTGTCTCAAAAAAAAAAAAAAAATTGTATTAGTTTCCTCTTGCTGCTATAACAAACAGTGGCTGAGAGCAACACAAATTTGTTATCTTACTGCTAATGGGTATCAGAAGCGCAAAATAGTCTTGGGAGGCATTAAAGGAGAATTCATTTCCTTGACTTTTCCAGCTTCCAGAGGCTGCTCACATTCCTCGGCTCATGGTCCAGTTACAATGGTTGATTGAGTCTTCTTGCTATATCCTTCTGACACTCAATCTTCCTTCTTTCCCTTATAAGGATCTTTGTGATCATATGTGGGTCACTACAAAAGTTTTGAGACAAACTGTGTTATAGTTGATTATTTCACTTTCTAGAAACACAGTCCACAGTATCCTTTCTGATTGACGCGCGCAAGTTTTAACTTGCTCAGTTTATCAGAATTGCTGAGAGGGCTTCATTTGTTTCTGTCCAGGAAGATTTTATGGTTCTTGATTTTTGTGCATATCAAAACCTTTGTAATATCCTATGTATCAGGCCTACCTGGATAATCCAGGATAATTGCCCCCATCTTAAGGTCATCTGATTAGCAACCTTAACTCTACCTTAACTATCCTTTTCCATGTAACATCTTCATGGGCACCAGGGATTAGGATGTGGAGGTTTTTACAGGGGAGTGCATTTTTTTGATACTTTCTTTATGATCAATTTTGACAAATGCTGCCATTCTGCTTTGCCCAAGTTGTTGGCTGCAGTGTTCTGTGTCTGTCCTCTGGGGCCAGTTTCTCAACTGTGTGTGTAGGTCTTCTATAAGTGTACTGCTCTTTTTGTTTGTTCTATCAACTGTTATAAAAGATGGGTTAAACTCTCCAACTATGATTATAGATTGACTATCTTCCCTTTTGTCAATTTTTGTCCTATATATTTATAAGCTGTTACTACACGTGTACAGATTTAGGATTGTGGTATTTTCCTCTTTAACTCCTTGAACACTATAGAATATCCCTCTTTATTTCTAGTAATGCTTTATCCCTTTATCTTTCATGACGGTGAAATTTTTCAAGAATCAGGCCATTTATTTTATAGAATTTGACTCAATTTGAGTTTGTCTTATGTCTTATCATAATAAGCTTCATGTTTTATATTTTTGGTCATAAGTTATGTTGAATCCTTCTCCGGGTGTCACCTCTGGAGACATGATGCGACTTAACATCATTAGCCATGATCACTTGATTAAGATGCCACCCGTTTTCTCTACTGTAGCCTTAATATTTCCCCTTTTTGTAATTAATTTGAGGAGAGAATTGCTTATATTTTTGAGTTAGCACAAATAAACATATGTCCAAAAATACTTATTCCAGATGTACTTGATTTTTGTTCATTCCTGCAGGGAAGAACAGCTTTGCACTGGTCCTGTAACAATGGATACCTTGATGCCATTAAATTACTACTAGACTTTGCTGCTTTCCCTAATCAGATGGAAAACAATGAGGAGAGGTAAGCTATTGATAAGAAATAGTATAACAGTGTTCATCTCACAACCTGTCTGCTAGATTGAAAAAAATCTGAAGTTTAAATATTAAATTATAAATTATAGGTATATTCATAAGGAAACACTAAGTAATTCCTGAACCAGAAACAATAAGCAAAATTTCCTTAAAATGTTGATTTAGATTCATGGGATTTATAGCTATTCAGAACTTTAGATATTACAGAGGACAAGCTCACATTTTGCAGATGAGGAAACTTTAGACCTTTTTCTGGCTTGTGGCTAGCAGAAGGTCAGTGAAGTTCTGACTGACTAGGACCAGGAATTTGGTTAGGCCAGCAGAACATGTTTTGTATTTAAGAGGTTTCTCTTGATGGAGAAGATATCAGGTAGTGAAAGAGAGGTATCACTATGTAGCATGAAAACATAGGGAGAAGCTAAAGCTTCAGGGTTAATCTAAACACAGATTTCTTTTTCTTTTTCTTTTTCTTTTTTTTTTGAGACAGTCTCATTTTGTTACCCTTGGTAGAGTGCTGTGGTGGCATAGCTCGTGGCAACCTCAAACTCTTGGTCTCAAGTGACTGTCTTGCCTCAGCCTCCCAAGTAGCTCAGACTACAGGCGCCTGCCACAGTGCCCAGCTATGTTTTTTTTAATGACAGGGTCTCACTCTTGCTCAGGCTGGCCTTGAACCTGTGAGCTCAGGGCAATCCACCACTGCAGCCTCCCAGAGTGCTATGATTATAGGCATGAGCCACTATGCCAGACCTTAAACATAGATTCTTTGTTTTTTGTTTTAGTTTTGGGTTTGGGTTTTTTTTGCAGTTTTTGGCCAGGGCTGGGTTTGAACTCGTCACTTCTGCTATATGGGCCCGGCACCCTACTCCTTTAATCTCACTTTGTTGCCCTCAGTAGAGTTTCATGGCATCACAGCTCACAGCAACCTCCAGCTTTAGGTGATTCTCTTGCCTCAGCCTCCCGAGTAGCTGGGACTACAGGCACCCACCACAATCCCAGCTTTTTTTCTTTTGCAGTTTGTATGGGGCTGGATTCGAACTTGCCACCCTTGGTATATGGGGCCAGCGCCCTACTCACTGAGCCACAGGCTTCACCCCAACATAGATTCCTTAAATAAAAGGTCCATAGAGTTACACTGGGGTTGTTGCCCAGGAACCCGGGTCCAATAAAAATGACCAGACACAATGTGAAGCAAGAGAGATTCTTGGTGGTCCTGGATTTAGGAAGATTTTTCTAGCAATCTGTAGGTAACAAGGTTCGTAATCAGATTTTATACCTGAGCTCCCCCTGGTCCAGGTCTGTGTGTTACTTTTCACTGTTTATGAGTGTTCTGAAGTGGGCCCTACTATCATATTATCCCTTTTTATTAGCATGCAGGAAACCTTATAGAGAAGGAATGAGTTCTCTAGGTTAGCTACGATCTCAGAAGAAGAGACCTCCTTCTTTACAGACCAACATCTTCCCACTTCTTTCAGAATCTTTTCTCATCAGCAAAAAGAGATGGAGATATTGTCCTTTGAAACTCAAAAACAGAAACAACAACAACAAAAGAAAAACTCAGAAGGGAAAAATTAAGACTCCTAAGAATTAGTGCTCATTTGCTTCTATAAAGAAACATTTACTGCCTGACTGCTATTTTTTTAAGAAAACAATGAAAAAATTCTTTTTGTAATTTCCATTTCCATTTTTATGCTAAGCTTGAATTTCAGACCTAACTGTTCACTCCTTCCTAGAATAAACATATGTTGACTATAGACCAGAAGGCGGAAGGAAAAATCCACCTAACTGTATTGCCAACCTATAGATAAAAAGAGACAGTGACAATATTCCAATCTTCCTTAGTGATTCATCAGCAATGCACCTTGATGGACAAATGTCAGGACTTAGCACTTCCTTTTACATTTATTGGCATTCCAGTTCAGGCATTCTGCTCATCCCCTCAGACCATTCCCGCATGGCAAGTCCAATTGCATCTTACCTTTTGTCTCCATCTGTGTTGCTTCCTGGCTGGTTACCATCACTGTTGTGATAATTTTTACTTCTCAGGCTTTGATGCTAACCAGTCGATGTACACTGCATAGACATAATTTATACCACCTAATGCTGACTTTCAGTTAATAACTGACAGGCCCACTCTCACATCAATGGGAATATTCTACAGCATTCGAATGTTTCTATATTGAATTTAGGATGAAGAAAGATTCAGTAGTAATAGTCACAGTGTGGTCTGTTGCTTAAACACTAGATAAGGACTTTAATCTTTAAACCTTGTTAGATGTTGTGTCTCTTTGAATCAAAAATTGAGAATCCTGATTTGAATAAACCAACTACAAAACATTTTTTGGGCTCGGCGCCTGTGTCTCAAGTGGCTAAGGCGCCAGCCACATACACCTAAGGTGGAGGGTTCAAATCCAGCCCGGGCCCGCCAAACAACAATGATGGCTGCAACCAAAAATAACCGGGCATTGTGGCGGGCGCCTATAGTCCCAGCTACTTGGGAGGCTGAGGCAAAAGACTCACTTGAGTCCAGGAGTTGGAGGTTGCTGTGAGCTGTGATGCCACAGCACTCTACCCAGGGGAACAGCTTGAGGCTCTGTCTCCAAAAAGAAAAAAAAAAAAAATTTTTTTGGAGAGAACCCAAGAAATTTTATTATAAACTGGGCATTAGGTTTTACTAAGGAATTCCTGTTAATTTTGTTGGTATAACAATGACATTGTGACTAGGCTCATAATATTTATAGGTGAATACTAAAATGGACAGAGATTAAGTGATAGGAGTTCTGAGATTTGCTGTAAAATACTTTAGCAAAGATAAAAAGGAAGATGTTAGATGAAGCAAATGTAGCAAAAAGTTATTAAATTAGGGTAGTGAGTGTCTAGAGGAATATTACACTATAGTCTCTCTCTCTGTTTTTTATTTATTTATTTATTTATTTATTTTTTGAGGCAGCGTCTCACTCTGTCACCCTGGGTATCTTAAGAGTACAGTGGTGTCATTATAACTCACAGCAACCTCAAATTCCTGGGCTCAAGAGATTCTCTTCCCTGAGCCTCCCAAGTAACTGTAACTATAGGTATATGGCATCACACCTAACTAATTTTTTGTTTGATTAGAAACAGTGTCTCACTCTGGCTTAGGTTGGTCTCAAACTCCTGACCTCAAGAGACCCTCTGCCTCAGCTCCAGACTGCTGGGATTGTAGACGTGAGCCACTGCACCCAGCTCTCTACCCTTTAATGTTGGAAGTTTCTGGTAATAAAAATAGGCTTTTTAAATATAATTTAAAAAATTAAGACGCAATTTTCAACCCAGAAGTGGCCTGAGAGACCTAGTTCTTCCGTTCTTCCTCACCACTTCTACAGATGAGGATACAGAAGCTCAGACAAGTTAAGGGAATGCTCAGGGTCACACAGGGCCTCTGACTCCCACTCTAGCATTCTTTGGGGTATAATATGCAACGTGTTATTCCTTTTGTCATATTTGGAGGTAAAGGCATAGTTTACCTTACATTTTATTTCATAAGCCACATTTCGATAATCCCATTTATATACTATGTAAATATATCAATAATTATGGAACAGTTATCAAGCTTACTAAATATATATGTTGTTTGTACATTGATTTTAGAAAACAGTTTTATTCTATAAGAAACATAGTCAATAATTGCTACATGTGTTGTAGAGGATTGTAGAACTGGGAAACATGATCTGACTTCTAATCTACATTCTGTAGAAACCAGTTGCTTTGGCAAGTTGCCTAACCCTTCCGGGTTTGCTTATTCATTTATAAAATGAAGCTGCTGAACTAAATGACCTCTAAAATTCAATTTAACTCTACTATTGGTTTTTTGATGGCTTTATGATAACTTTTTCCACCAGAGAAAGTACAGTTATAAAAGATGTTGTGGAATATATAGTAAAAAAAATTTTTTAATTCTTCTGAATTTACAAAATGTTATCCACTTATAATAATGTTTTAAAGTTTATATAGGCACCTCTATTTATAACCTCTGGTTCCTGAGTGGCAAATTGAGCTGCCCTAATATGAAGGTTCCTTAATTTCAGCATCTGGGGCTTCCTTCCAAACTCAGGGTTTCTTTACTCAAAAGACAAACCTCCCTTACATGCAAAGTCTCTTTCTTTTATGTCTTACCCCAACTGTTAAGTGAGCTTTAAACAGAGATCATTTCCGTAACCATTGGATGATTTTCTGTGTTTAATCATGCATCCCTGTAATCATCATTTTTTCCACCTCATCAATCACCTGATTATTTCCCCAACACCTCTGTTGCACTGGACTAGTCACAGTCACCCCAGGAGGAATCAGCAGGAGTGGCAGTCGTTAAGTGGTCATAAATAAATACTAGTGGGTCCCGTGGAAACGATATTTATGATAACCAAACCAAGAAGCAATGCTAACGTTTATTAGCCGCTTCCTTTGTGCCAGGTACAATGCCCTTCTCTTTACATTTATATTCCATTTTCTCCTCATTCAAAGTGTGAGACGTATTATCTTATTTAAAAGATGAGGAAAGCTGGGGCTTAGAAACATCAGATAAGTTGTGTATGAGGTAACAGTCATCATTCTCATTGTTGGAAGGTAGAATTAGGGGCAATTTTTTTTTTTTTTTGGCTTTAATTTTGGTACTGTTAGCAATTTGAATTCTGAAAATAACGTTTGTATAAAGTAATGTTCCCAATAGCCCAGATTTGTGAGCCAGTGAGCCAAACTCAGGAATTGACATGGGTAGCAGAATAAAACACCTGACCCCCAGCTGTGTGCAACCTTATTTTATGCCTGTCAGAGGAAAGAGGAACAGCCCTGGTATAGAGAAGATGGCTTTCCCTGGGAAAGATCCCACACCTTAGAATGAAGTTTCCTTCTGCTGCATAATAATATTGCCAGGTTAACTGTGCCTTGAGTTGCATTCCAAAACTCTACAAAACAAATCTTCCTTCTGCTTCAGATACACACCCCTTGATTATGCTCTGCTTGGTGAGCGCCATGAAGTGATCCAGTTCATGTTGGAGCACGGCGCCCTGTCCATCGCGGCCATACAAGACATTGCTGCCTTCAAAATCCAAGCTGTCTACAAAGGGTACAAGGTCAGAAAAGCTTTCAGAGACCGGAAAAATCTCCTCATGAAGCATGAACAGCTGAGAAAAGATGCGGCTGCCAAGTAAGTTTGAGCTGTGGAGATTGAGTCAGGGTGGAAGGGGGTGTGGGATAGGGGTGGTCAAGAGAGGAAAGAATCGGAATTACTTTTGCTCCCTACATCTGGGTCACCTCTCCCCTTCTGCTCAGCACCCTCGTCTCAGAAGGCCTGAGGCTGCAGTGCAGGATAAAGAAGCCCTAGCCCCTCCTTGGTGGCTGTTCCTCTAGATCCGTCGCTGATGTTTCAGCCCAGAGACAAAGCACTGCCACCCCCACCCATGGCAAGGAGTTGGGGGCAGGATTGCCTCCTCCAGTAAGCTAGAGAGATAACCTCTCTTTTCCCCTTCCCTGCCTTTCCAAAAGAAACAAGCCAATATCTAGCCTACTTTCACTGGACCAACCTAAGTTTAGTTTTAATTTAATAACAACCGGCTCGGTGCCTGTGGCTCAAGCAGCTAAGGCGCCAGCCACATACACCTAAGGTGGCGGGTTCGAATCCAGCCCGGCCCGCCAAACAACAATGACGGCTGCAACCAAAAAAATAGCCGGGCGTTGTGGCAGGCGCCTGTGGTCCCAGCTACTTGGGAGGCAGAGGCAGGAGACTCGCTTGAGCCCACGAGTTGGAGGTTGCTGTGAGCAGTGAAGCCATGGCACTCTACCTAGGGGGACAGCTTAAGGCTCTGTCTCAAAAAAAAAAAAAAAAAAAATTTAATAACAACCATCTTGTATAAATTACTTGCTCTCCTCCTCCCATTTCTTAATAAATCTGCATTAAATAATTTATTCTGTAAATAGTGACTGAATACCTATTACACATACAAAACTCTTGGCTAACGCCTAGGGAGAAAATGGTGTCTGAAAAAGCAAAATCCCCACTTTAGAGACTTCGTGTTTGTTTGGACAATGATACAAAATACACGAAATAGCCATTTTGTGCTTATTACACATTGTGATTATTTCACATAAATTATTTATTTTAGAGTATACTTTAGTTTCTTCAATACCTATGTTGAGGAAAAAGAATTTTCAGTCGCAATACAGATATAAAACCTCCAGTGATAAAGATGTGGACAGGCAGATTCTTGAAGGATAACTTCCTGACCGTATGCTAAATGTTTCCAAATCTCCAGTTCTTCCAGCTCTTAAATCTTTCTACATCTTGCCCACAAAGGGAAAGCATAAGTGTAATAAACAGCCACTAGAAGTAAAAATAAGAGGCAAGATAGATACCACCATGTATTGGAATACTAGCCATAATGTTAGCCTTCAGTACATAAGATTGACAGAAACACATCATTTTCTGTGACTTTGAAGCTACTGAAATAGATGGCATACTAGGAAGTATTATCTTGTACCCTTTCTTTTTTGAGACAGAGTCTCACTCTGTCGTCACCCTGGCTAGAGTACAATGGCATTATCATAGCTCACTATAACCTCAACATCTCAACATCCTGGGGCTCAGGTGATCCTCCTGCCTTAGCCTCCCAAGAGGCTGGGACTATGGGCACATACCATGATGCCACTGGCATTGTCATACCTCACTGCAACCTCAACCTCCTGAGCTCAAGCAGTTTTCCTGCCTTAGCCTCCCACGTAGCTGGGGCTACAGGCACACACCGTGATGCCCAGCTACGTATTCTATTTTTCTGTAGAGACAGAGGTCTCAATCTTGCTCAGGCTGGATCTGAATTCCTGCCTTCAAGTAATCTTCCTGCCTAGGCCTCCTGGAGTGCTAGGAGCCACTGCACCCAGCCCTTGTACTGTTGTCTTAATAAGGCTCTCTTCTCTTCACTTTTGACAAATAATCTAGCATTAACCTAAAAGTCACTACACACCTCTTTTCCCAGCCTTCTTATAAAAGTTTCCTGCGTGTGAGTGACAACTCTAAGTAGGTAATGCACATGAAAAATTATCCTGAGTTGCAAGTAAATATTCTCTGGAAGGTACAGAGTGTTGTATTTCCTTTTGCTGATATTTCTGTAAACTCCAATTTAATGTATGAGAATCTATTTTTGGGATTTGAAGTCATATCTGCCTAAATATGAGGTGGCACTCTACAAAGGCACCCTGACTAACTTTGTATGTCCCCCCAAAAGGAATGTAGTAATCCAAACACATTCTACCTCCTTATTAGAAAGAGGGGGCCCCTAGGGTCCTCCTTCTCCTTTCCAGCAGAATAGCAGGATGTGGCAGAGTGGACAGAGACCTGGATTCAAACCCAGCCTCTAAAACGTATTTGTGATGACTTGAACACAGCATTTCTCTTTGGGCCTTAATTTCTTCATCTGAAAAACATGACAAATGAGACTAGTTGATTTCTAGGCACCCGGCAGTTCTGCAGAGACCCCCCAAGGCTTCGCCTAGTGCGACCTACAGACCCTTCCTCCTCTTCTTTGCCTTTGCTGCTCCCAGAGTCTTCTGCCTGAGACTGAGTTTGGACTGGGGTACTATGTAGTCAGCTTTGAGCTGGGAACTAAGACCCTATTTGTAAGATTTCCTTTATAGGGGAAGGGGTTTAAAATAGTGACATGCCCAAATAGCATAGTGGTTTGTTTACATACTTTTTCCCTAAAATGGACTTCTGGGATTCCTACTCCACGGGGTTTGAAGCAACAAAGCGATCTAGGAAACATCTAGTCCAAACCCCTCTCTAGTTCTTATCCTAATCAGCTTCACTGCTATGGAAGACAGGGCCTCTGTGTTCTTGGTTTCCGAAGTTAATTTTTAGAAACCTTGTTAAATGGGAGCCATGCTGACTTGTGATAGTGTTTTTAAATTGCCAAAGTGGAAAAACTGTAATCTCCTTTATTTTATTTCAATTACAATCTTTCCTTTGTTGAATGTTATTAGGAATAAATAAGGTTTTTATGGTTTAACCATCACTTTTCCTATAGTCATTACAGTATAAGTCCCCAAGGGGGAAAAAAAATTTTTTTTTGAGACAGAGTCTCACTATGTCTCTCTGGGTAGAGTTCTGTGGCGTCACAGTTCACAGCAATCTCAAACTGTTGGGCTTAAGTGATTCTTTTGCCTTAGTCTCCCACGCAGCTGGGACTACAGGCATCCAGCACAACGCCTGGCTATTTTTTTCTTATTGTCATTGTTGTTTAGCAGGCCTGTGCCAGGTTCAAACCCGCCAGCCAGCCTTGGTGCTTATGGCTGGTGCCCTAACCACTGTGCTATGGGTGCTGAGCCCCCAAGAAAAATATTTAAGTGGCAGAGAAACTGATGGAATTTGCTTTAATTTTATTTCTCAAAAGTTATTTTTTAAAATCTGAGTCCGTGTTTAATTTTGCTTTAAGAAACAAATCGGCATGCTACACTCAGTGCTTGCTGCACACGACGGAGTGAGGTGACCCAGGCACAGCGTGTCCCCTCAGTCTGCCTCCCCAGTTTACCATGTAGGGACGGCAGAAGTCACCTTCCTTAAAGGGAAGATGTGAAAGGAACTTAGGAAACTGAAAGGCATTTCTAATTTACTGATAAACTGGGAGAGAGAAAAGTTGTAGTCATATTTTCTAAGGCAGGTATTTTAGAAAACACTATTTAAGAAATAGCCATCATCCATTTAAGAGCACTTCCTAACTCACACTGCACTACATGTGTTGTTACTGAAATGAACATTACTATAATTTTCCTGCCAAATCATACAGTTGAATGCACACCGAGAAGACCGTATTTATGCTGATCAGCCTTCAGCCTTGAAGCTTCCTTTCTGCCGGTTCTTACTTCACTCCAATCTCAGCTCTCCTCTATCTCTCTGACTCTCCCTGAACATCTTTTTAATTATATCATCTCCACACTGAAGTCGGCCCTGAAGGTGAACTCCTTAGGAGTCTACTCCTGCTATACTTTTTTCTCTGGAAAATGCATCCTTAAACTCTTAAACTCTTGAAGTTTAAATTAGTTCATCCCTACAGATGACCCCTGATTTGTCTCTCACCTTGTCCTCCTAGAACCCTAATCCCTATCTCAGTTGCCTACTGGGCCATTTCCACTTTGTGTCCTTTTGCCACTTGCCACCAGTTTTGACCACTGGACACTTCTGTTCAAATGTCCTGTTGTCCATTCAGACTCACAATGTGAAATCCACAGCTCATCACCAGAGTCTGTCTCTCTTCTGGTCTCTGTATCTCCTTCCTGGTGTTGCCACCATAGATTGCATGAATTCTTTTTTTTTTTTTTTAATTCTTAATTTCAAATGTCTTTTAACTTTCATTCCTCTTTGCCACAACTCTATATAAGCCCTTGTTTTTGAATACCAGCCATGACACTAGGCTACACCCTTTGACATTCACTTCCACGTATATCTCCAAGCCTCGTTTCTCTACACTACCATGGCCCTCCCTCTCCCTCATGCTCAATTGATGTCTCAGCCATCCTGGACTATTTTCTTTTTCTTTTTTTTTTTTAATTGAATGATAACTATGTACATTAATGCACTTCTGGGGAACAGTGTGGGGTTTTCACACACAATCCAAAACACTTCCATCAAACTGGTTAACACAGCCTTCATGTCATTTTCTTAGTTATTGTTTTAAAACGTTCACATTCTACTCTTAGAAAGGGACTATTTTCCTTTCTTCGTTTGCCATGCTTTCTGGGAGACCCGAATTTCTTTCTGGCTAGCATAGGTGATCACATGTGTCTCTTAGAGTTACATTATCAAGTAACTCCCATTCAGACTTTTGCTGTGCTACAATCTCTTCTGCAAAAGGTTGTTCTGAGTCCGTAGTCAAGTAACAGGGAATTCTGTGCCTCTGAGGACAGCACATTCCATTCATGGAGGGTTCTGTCTGACAAAAGTTATTTTCTACCTTTTGGTCTTGAAGCTACTCTTTGAAGCCCAAGAGGAAAGTCTAAATCCTTTTCTAGAAACCACCTTTCAGACAAGTAAAGAAAGTGCTCCTGCTCCCTCCCACCCCCATTTGGGTCTCCTCTTTGCTTCCTAACTGCCCTGGCACAGCCTGCTCCCCAAATGTCACCAGGTTGTCAGTGCCGTTTTCAGGGTTGATCCACAGGTCT